GGTCTTGGTTCAGTATTACTTTGTTACGCTACAATGGTGCCCAGTTTTTGTAATCTGCTTCTTTGTTGCGCTTTATGATCACTGGTGGCGAAATTCGATGCCCAGTGGATGTAATATACCATAAATCATTTATTGTATAGTGTAGGTTTATTCTTAGTTATTATGTTGTAATTTCTTTATTGTATAGAGTAGGTTTGTTCTTAATTCCTACTAGTTACTGCCATCATTCGCTATCTGAAAAAAATCAGATCTAGTCGACCGGGCCGAAACATTCGCCTCTAACGGTCCTGGTGTTTAGCGGGCCACAATTGGGCCGGCTTGCATCTTTCTTGGGCCCGAATGATTGGGGCCTTCACACTTTGCGCGAGGCCCACAACTTATACCGGCCTATATTTTAGTTGGGCCTTTTGTGGACCCAACGCTTAGTTTGGCCCAGGTAGCGTTGGGCCATTAACAAGATGAATATTGTACTCGCCTGTTACGGCCCAGATGAAACCATGGGCCTTTAGCAGGCCGAAATGCATATTGGGCCTCAATTTTCATTAGTCGTCGATGGGCCTTCAGCGGGCTGAAATGTAGACCGGGCCTTTTTGGGCCCAGTTATATCACGGGCAGTTATCAGGCCGAAACATATCTCATGGGCCTTTAAGAGGCCGAAAGCTTAGTACAGACATCAACAGGCTGAATTATGCGACAGGCCTTTAACGCCCAAAGTCACGTTGGGCTTAACTGTTGCCACCTTTATCACGCGCCGTTAGTGGGCCCGATGTCCCGTCGGACCATATATGGCCAATGGGCAGCACGGGCCATTCCCAGGCCGAAAGTCACACCGGGCTGAAATGAGCCCATGTCTACATCGGGCCTCTAACAGGCCGAAGTCACTGGGCTGTAATTGGGCCCAAATATTTGGCGAACAATTAACGGGCCAGATCTGGCTTCGGGCCGTAAATGGGTCTTTATTAAGCAGGCCGTTATTGGGCTGGCCCACTAGTACCTGAGTAAGTACTACGGGCCTTTGACTGGGCCGACCTTTTTAACCTATATGGGCCTCTGTTGGGTCATGCCACGTGTCGACGTATCATAAGCGCTTTGGGTCCAATGAGTGGATGACATCTGTCCCAACGTGAGCCGATGCGTGTTTCCTCTAGCCAATGATGATTTTACACGTGGAAAATCCCCATTGGTCGGGGCTGTTAACGGGTTATCAGATCCAAAACCGGACCCGATAGCTTAACGGTGTTCCGTTACGGTGGATGCCACGTGTTGGTCACCCTTGACGAAAGCACTTCTGTGACGCGCGATATATCATCATGGAAGTGGACACTTCTTTGATGATAATTTTGGTAATGTCATGAAACACTTCTACGACAGCACAGGTATGACTATCTTGATTCTATCATAAATTTGTCATGGATGTACATGCATGACAGAAAACGTGACCTACTGTGACAAACACATATCATCACGAAAGTGTATTTTTTTGTAGTGTGTGGCAGCGGAGGAGAGTCGTGGCGGCCGGAGCCGGACGGCGGGTTTTCTTTTTTTAGCAGTAGGGTTGTCCCAGAGGATGACGGCCATACCTCTTCGGCCCAGCCACAGAAGAGTGAAGCTTCTTCGTTCGCTGTAGTACTAGGCCGGCCCGTTATCAGCGCTCGCTCGGTGGTTCGCTCAGTCGTGGTGTTCAATAGGTTCCCCTAAAAATACAGTGTTCGATGCGTTTTTATTTTTTACTAGAACAATGCACGTGCGTTACAAGGGGATATAAATATTCTAATACGTTATTTTGTGATTTACACGTTAATAATAATGTAATTGTGTAAATAACTGTTCATCAAATTCTAACCGTGAATCATCTTATATTTTGATTACAAGTTTGGTAAGTAAATTAAAGTGGCATTGGTTTAAACAGTAAGTAAATTAAGGTGCTTTATTATCATATACATGGAAGGTTGGACGAACAGGGTGGTGAGAAGAAAGATGAAATGAGAACCATACATTCTTTTTAAGTAGTAGAGATTTT